GGAAACGCTGGTAAGCATTATGGCAGAGGGAGGGGAACTGCTCCCAAGGAAATTTACAGGAGATTTTGAGAAGAGGCAAGCTCTCCTGTCAGGCACAGCAGGAGCACTGCTGTCCACTGCCTGCCATCTACATCCCAAGAGAAATGGGCTTAGAATTCACCTCAGTATGACTTGGTGCTTCTCCATGACAGCTGCTGCAACCTCTCTTGAAGCCAGTGCAGGTATAACTGGACAGAGAAAGGAGGACAAATTGCCACACCAGCAATCCAGCAGAAGAGCTGCTTAAAAGGCAGGTTTTCCAACACCCCTCAGGGGCTGGTTTCCCTCCAGCCTTCACACAGTTCAGCATATCTTTTGCAATGGAAGCCTGGGGTTACAAAAACGTACTTTGAATCCCATTTGCACATTCTGCTACATCACAATGGCACATTCAAATGATGCTTGCAATGTATTTTGAACAAGTCGAACACAGAACATCCAATATAGGATTTCCTCTTTCTCCTGCCCATCCCCTTCCTGTTTGTTTACCAAAAACTTTCACTTCCTCAGTGACACTGATACCAGCTCTGGTGGTCACTTAACCCTGGTTCTCCAGTCCTTGTCCACTCACCCCTGAATTACAGCTCCCCGGGCATTTAGTACTTACTGAAGGGTTTTAAAGATCCATCAAAACACATGGTAAGGCTGGGGCTGCCCTGGAGAAAACAATTTTCTGTCCACTGGATCTAATGAATGTAAACTTCATTATTCTGGCAAGGGACATTCTAGCAGGCAATTTCAATATATGCAATAGATGTGCTCATGTTCAGATCTTTCCCTACTCAGTTGATACTACCAGGAAATATTCTTTTTGTCTGAATAAAGTAGAACTTAGTCACAGGTCAGACCTACTTATTTCTAAAATTGTTACCACTACACAGCAATTCACTCAAACATGGTCTTTAACTTTTGGAATTAATTTTGTTCTAAGTCCCTAGGACAGTCATACATGGAAAGAGAAAACTTTAGCAGCCAAATATACTTCTGTACTAATTCCTATGATACCATATTGCTTCAGTTTAAACCTAAGGTAAAATCCAAATAATATTTCATTAAAAAAAAATAAATAGGTTTGTATACACCTATCTGTACAAAATAATGAAGGAAACATGAAAAAAAGCAATCGACTGTAGATACCACATCAGAAAGCCCACTTAACAGATTATGCTTTTTTTGACGAACTTCCTGAAATTGCTTTTTTTAAACCAACAAAGGAGAAGTTAAAAGCACATCCCAGAGGGAGTCTTTTCCCTTTACAATTTTATCATTTCCATACTTAGAGCAACCCTCTAAAATAGAGAAAACTGCAAAAGGTGCCATTGCAGAAGAGTAGCTGCATCCCATACTTCAATACCTTTTGGTGAACTATCACGTGTTCCAATTTAAGATTGCACTATTTCCTATCACAGCTGGCCTTTGCAAATTAAAGTAAGAAATTCTGCAATATGACAACCACAGGAAGAAGAAGCCTTGTGCCACATGCAGCAGGGACCATAGAGGAAGAAGGACACTGTGTACAGACTGTTTATCATTGGAGTCCTTTGAACTGAAGATGTAAGACAAGTGTGCTGCGCAAACACAGGAACCAATTGTAGATACTTAAGATGCCAGCAGTTTGAAAAAGATAGGCAAAGCTGACCTAAGGGAGACCAAAGGCTGGCCTGGACAGAACTAGTCCACCCTTTTAACTCACCAGAGAAATGAGATCTACCCATTATTCCCTCCACCTTTCCTCCTTTCTTTTCTCCCCAGACAAGTGTTACTGTCAAAACATAATTTCTCTTCTGACACTTGCCTGACAAAAGTAACCAATCTATTTACCTCTATAAGTAGTTCTTTAGGGCACAAGCCAAATACAAATATCCCATAAATATTTGGAGGAAAAGCTTCCAGCACATGATGAATTCTGCCTTCACGTTTTGTTCCATGAAGCCACATTTTTCAGAAAAGATGCTGAACTCAAACGCGAATAATTCAGTCTCGGAAATTACAGCATTTAATGACAATGTCAACAGGAAATGTATCTGAATCAGGCAAAAATAAATATGAAAGCACAGACCTTTCTATCCTTCCCTGAAGGACAATGAAGTTTAAACTAGGAACAGTCACACTGAGGACAGTTACAGACTGCATTTGTCTTTTATTAGTACAAGCTGATTTCTTGGAGAAGGCACCACTACTGTTTACAGGGTGGCAGACTCCTTCACCCTGCATGCGTCATTAAAGACTGTTTTCATACAAATGCAATTTTACATTTTTATCTACAGTTTCCTGTGGTAAGGCTTAGCAAGTCTGGAAGCCTTTCTTATTGCACCATCTCTAGCATTCCTACACTCTCATTAAAGAGGGGAGAGAAATAAATGGGAGAAGTAGGAAGTAGGAATATGAGCAACAGGACAAAAAATTCTAATTCTCAGCTGGGCAACTGGTTTTTCTATAGAATGAAGCCTTTTTGCTTAGAGATGGAAATCCTACAGAGGCAATATTATAACAAATGCTGCTTAACAGAGTCACATGGTTTGGAGTAATTATTTACACACTCAGCTTCATAGCTTCAAAAGGAAGTATCATTCCCTGCATATAAAGCTCACACAACCCTCAGGATCCCCAGCCCATGGATTCTCCTCCCAAACTTCCCATTAGCACATGATGGCTCATATCCTTCTGAGATCTTGTGGCAGCAGACATCCACCTCTGTGTACAGTCATGCTACCACAGCAGATTGCTAGGAATCCTAGGTTATATCTAATGTCCACCCCATTAATGAATGAACGAATGAATGAATTAATTAATTAATTATAGTTAGTTAGTTAGTTAGTTATTCCCCATGTACTTGTCTTCCGTGTTCACTTGGTTTGAAAAGGGCTCCCTGAACCCTAAGAGCAAAAATGGCTTTACAACTCCCTGGACAGAAGAAAAAAATGTCACTCAGTTACTCAGGATATGCACATATGGAAAGGAGGAAAGATCTCATCCCCTTCCCAGATCACCTAGCCCTTTGACAGAAACAAAAATTGTCTCCTGATCAATATGTGTTCATCCTGAAATCTCAAAGATTCCTATAAAGATTCAAAATAACATGCAGAGTAGAGGTAGGCAAACATCTCCTTTTTTGTGACAGCAATGGAATAACATCTGAGATTAAATACAGCAGCACTTAAACTTTCCCAGCTAACTTCAGAGAGGTCAGTGTTGCTCCCTGATGTGCCCCACAGGAAGGGTCAGGTGTAGCATCTCTGGTTTGGTGAGACACTCCACTGAAGAACAGAACCAAGCTGAGCCGGGAGACCTTGGACTTGTTTTCATTGCCTGTCACAGGAATTGTTCTCCTCAACACTTGCTGCTCTGTGATGCCATTTAGCTTACAGGAGTCAAAAAGGCCATAGGAAGAGAGGGCACTTCAATTACATAGATAAACTGAGGGGTGGAGAGTACTGTGAAACAGTTACTTACACATTCATAAATACTTATCTGTTCATAAATACCTGCAAGGAATTGTTTCACATTTATGGAAACTCCCTTGAAAAGGATAACATTAAACGACATAGTATTAAACAACTCAAAGGCAGCAGGGTTTAACTTTGTGTTGTAAAGTTTCACAACTGATTGCTTTGTCAGAAAGAGTCATTGCACAACTCCACTGGTCAAGGGGCTTAAAAAGGAAGGCCTAAACCTTACCAGGTCTTCTGCATAAGAGGAAAAACCTCTTATTTACTAAAAAATAGAGCAAAGCAGAATAACTTGAAGTCAGCCAGCTACTGTACAAAGATGATCGTTCTATGTCATCATGGTTTAAAAAAATCTATGTCAACAGCACACAATTAAGAGATTTTTACGTTATTAAGTAAAGAATTCTTTCCTAACTAGTCTCTAGCTCACAAAGTTGAAACAGAGAAAGAAAAAAAGCTTTAAATCTCAGAAGAGATCCATAAAATGAGACATCTTTTGATCTCAAAGTTCATTAATTTCAATCCTTCTCCAAGGTTTCATAACATCCTATTAACAGTATCTAACTGATTTCCAGCCTGTTGCTACTTTTTCAGAGAAAACTATTTGATTTTTTTTCTCATCCATACTTTCAGTGCTGTTGATAGTACCTATTAAAAGGATAACACCTATTCTGTCCTCAGTGTTGGGTTGGAAACAATCCACACAAACACAATTTGACTCTCCTTTTGGTAAAACTGAGCTACGTTTTCCCAACATAGCTTTGCAATTTCTCAACACATATCTTCTGCTTTTTGTTTTAACTCTATAGTGATACTGTGTTGAGTGCAGACTTATCTAAGTGGCACTCATACTTCACAGATATTATCAATTAACATTACTATTCCTAAATTGCAAAAGTCATAGAAGTACTTGATGGGACCAAGCTTAAAATTTTTAATTTTCAATTTGTACTACGACGTCCTAAAATACATTAAGATCGGTCAGAGTGTTTCTCTTTCTTCAAAGGTGGGAACGAAGGAAGGAGATGGGATATTGACCAGGGGTTTCAGATGAAACCAGCTTTGTGCTCCCTATGTATATCAGTGGGAATATAACCTGGCTAAACAAGCTTTAATAAGAGTTAATCCCTTTGGTCTGTAGTGCCAACAGAGGGGAGCAAGGCAGCAAGATGAGTTAGTGCCAACCCATTCACTGCCAACCCTTGAAAGACGCAATTTCAACAGAAACTCTTAACTGCTTTACTGAAGGTACAGCATCAGCTCCTAAACTAAAATTGTAAGGAGAAAACCCTTAAAGACCGTTCCTCAGGAGTGCAGTACCGATAATACCAGTCTGCAAGAAACACCGTGCACCAAACATCACAACACCGTTTCCTCATCTTTCTTTTAATTCCAAGCGCACTTGAACATACGCTTAAGAGGAAGAAGCTTTAACTTGCAGAACGCACCAGAAAACACGCTCCTAGAAAAAAGCAGTGTAAGAAGGGATACCCAGGGATCACATCACCTCACCTCAGTCAAGGCTATCGTTTTGGCTCGAAACGCCAACTGCGGACTTAAACCAGCTAATTTCAGACGCTCGCCGGCACGAAACAGCCAGAAGGCACCCGAGCCCTCCGGATCCCAGCAGAAACCCGGCAAAGGGATACGAGACAAATCACGCTTTTGAGAATGACCATTTTATCCCCAACGCGGTTATTCCCCTGGAGACCCCACGCAGTCCTACCGGGCAGCTCGGGCGGCAGCGGCTCCTCCTCGCGGGGCAGAGGCGAGGGCGAGCGCCCGGGGCGGAGCGGGGCGGGGGCGCGGAGCGGCGGGACCGGGCGGCCCCGCGGGAGGAGCGGGAGATGCGGGCACCGCCGCTCCGGGCAAGGCACACTTACTGAGCGGGGGCTCCGGGGAACGGAGCGCGGGGAGCGGAGCGGCGGGGCCGGCGCGCGGGGTGCGGAGCTTGGGGTGCGGAGCGCGGCTGTGGCTGTGGCTGCGCGGGCGGGGCGCGGCCGCGGGAGGTTCGCAGCCCGGGTACTTCCTGCTGCCGGGAACATTTGCATGGGGTGGACAGCGGGGAGAGCGGCGGAGCGGGGCCCGGCACGGCCCGGCCCGGCCCGGCTGCAGGCTGTGCCGGGGGTCAGCCCCGCCGAGCGGCCTCAGAGAGAGCGAGCCATCTCTAAAAGTTACAGTAAATATAACCCTGTTAGTCTGAGAGGCAAAAAAAGGCTCTCTTTTCCCACCAACAGCCAAAAAACCATCTTGAACCCCAAAAATCCACTATAAGAATCTTCTAAAGTCCATTGGAGTCTTGGTTGAGAGAAACAAAGAGCAATTAAGCTTATCTTTCAATGTTTCTTTTCTTTCAAGAATGATTTACTAGCCTGGTGAAAAGTGAAATAAAAATCTCACAGGTCAGCAAAACAGGAAATATGAACGCAGGACATAACAGGCAGAGGATGCAGGTGAAAAGCTTTGCGAGAGCCAGAGTCAGGTGTCATGTGTGTCCTGCCAGACCACGTGGACGAGTTCAGGTCGTGGAGGTTTCTAAGGCAGAATTTCAAATGAAAAGCGTTCAAGCTTTCCATATAAAAGTATTTAGATAGTGGATCAAGTTTCAGAAACAGTAAAAGTATTACAAGATGCGAGACACTCAAAGGCACCTCTGTACACTTTCCCAAAGTTCACCAGTACAGCCTAAATGTGGGTTGGAGCGGACTCGGGAGCTGGTGAGGACTTCTAACAGGACTCCCAAACTGCTGAAAATAGCTCAGTGCAGCTCACACCCTGTTGGGTTTATGGGGAGAACCTGGTTAATGTCGATGGGACTTACCGATCTCTGGTGCTGGCACTCCCGGTGGTGTGCAGCTGGCACAAGCACTTCACTCTGGTTGGTGTGTGCTGCAGTCCCCTCCCATGCCCTGGCTCCGGCACACAGGCCACTGCCTTGATCCTCTCATAGAAGCAGTGAGACCATAACCTGTCACATTTCTTAATCAATCCTAGATTGGGCATCTGTGGAGCTCTGAAAAGTAGTGGGCAATAGTTTCTTGTCCTCTTTGAATTGTATTATCATCAATTATTAAAATAATATTGTGTAAATACTCAGTATTAGACAGGCCTCTAAAAGTATTGTAGAGTGAGACAATAAGGAATTCCTCAAGATCTATTGATAGAAAGTTGGTAAATGTTTTCTCTCCTCCTCCAACTTAAGTAAACATGTTTCATAATAACAATAACAATAAGAAAAAAACAACAATAAAATGAACAAACCAGAAAACAACCTTTTTCCCAATGAAAAGCTTATACAAAAAGGAAAGATCAGACTAAATATACATTGTCTTGGGTTTGGGGACTTCTTTTGGTAGGAAATTTGGATTCCAAAAGTTTATATAAAATGAGCTATTTCTGTTTGGAAGTGCACTGTTAGTACCTCATGTTTCCATTTTCCTCTGTAGGACAAGCACCTTGATCTTGTAAGTTTCTTGGAGAAGTGGTGCACAAATCCCACATCTGTCTTGATCTCTCTCCTTTCCTCTTTATATCTTCATTTCATTATTAAGTATTCTGCTGAGTCTGATATTCGCCTTCTCCTATCAAAGTATTGGTGAAAATAAAATTTAGTTTCATAATGCATAATAGATTCCAGCAGTTTAGTAAAATACAATCCTACTTATAATGTGAATAATCTGGAAAAATAAAAGAGGGTCTTAATTACCCTTAATAGACTGCCATGCAGTAGTAAATTGAGGAGACATAGAATGAACTCATCAGATCTGCCCCAAAAGAACTAATATGAAGAAGGGTTAGAGTAGAATAAATACACTGTGCTTTATAAAAACGTTTTTAAAAGAAAGGTTGTTAGTATAATTTAAAATGTCATAGGTTTATATGACATTTATATCCTTATCCCCACTGCTAAGAAGAATATATACAAAATCTACTTTAGAAAGCATAAGCAGGAATGGAACTCTCTCTCTCTCATTATATATTCATCAAAAGGGGGAAAAAAAGCTGATTCCAGCCTCACTACATCTGTAGGTCAGCTGTTCATCACGATTTAAATGTCTTTGTGCATAGATCAAGAGAGTTGGGGGATGGTGTGAAATGGTAGAAATGGGGCAAGAATGAAACTTCAAGCCTGTCACTGAAGGGGAAGTCCTTGCAGGAAGGACTGTGAGTCACATTAGCCAGCCAGCATTCATGCCCAGCAATCAATTTCCAGCTTTGGGAAGATGCGACTCCCAGACAATGTCTCTGCTGCTGATTTAAGCATGGCTGCAAGGCACTGCTCCAGTGTGAAGGCCATCTGGCAATGTAGGAGTCCACATCCATGCTCTTGGCATCCAGAGTGTGGGGACAACCCCACACTGGCCCATGTGTCCTGGTTTCTGCTGGGATAGAGCTCGTTTTCTTCTTATTAGCTGGTGCAGTGCAGTGTTTTGGATTTAGTATGAGAATAATTTTGGTTACACACTGTAGTTTAGTTGTTTATGTTTTCCCTAAGTCAAAGCCTTTTCCGTTTTCCATGCTCTGCCAGTGAGCAGGTGCACAAGAAGCCAGGAGGGAGTGACCTCAACTGGCCAAAGGGATATTCCATACCTGTCATACCCAGTATTTAAATATATCATATATATTATTATATACTGGAGAAGTTGGCAGGAGGGGACTGATCATATCTTGGGGGTGGGCTGGGCACCGATCAGTGGGTGATGACCAACTCTATTGGACAACACTTGTTTTCTCTTGGGTTTTATTAATTTCTCTCTCTTTCTCTTTTTCATTATTACCATTATTTTTATTATTACTAGAGTAGTTGTAGTAGTAGTTCAGGTGAAATCTGAAATCTCCATGAGATGAACTACTACTACTCCTACTGCTGCTGCTGCTGCTACTGCTACTATTCTTTTTTACTTTCCTTCAATTATTAAACTGTTCTTATCTCAACCCCTGGGTTTTTACCTTTTTCCAGATCTCCTCCCTATCCCATTGGGAAGAGGGCAGTGATTGAGCAGCTGCCTGGTACTTAGTTGCCAGCTGGGGTTAAACCACAACACCATTTTAACTTTCAGATCAGCTCTGGAATATTTTTGAGTGATAAGTGGCCTGGGCCAGGGATGAGTCAAGCAATTTGTCAGTAGACTCAGAGCAATGCCCAATGATATTTGGTTGGGCACTGTTAATTACTGACTTAATGAGCCTTGTGGGGTCCCCACCAATCCCTCTACAAACCTGTGCAGGTAGCTGCTGCTGCTGGTCCCTGTTTGGATTGAGTCTGGGGGCATGAAGAGGCACAAACTGCAGGGAACAGTGACTCTGGGCAGTAAATCAAACTTTGTCATGGACAATGAAAACAGGCAACTAACTTCTCTCTACATTTTTTATATTCCTTCATCTCATTGCTGTTGAGCTCTTTCTGCAGCATGTTTGAATACAAAAGAAGAGCGTTAATAGAGTACTAAAAAACAGTCAGTAAAGCATAAATGGCATAACCAGAGAAATAATTTGAGGGACAGCCCAAGGAATACCTGGGCTCATTCAATTAAAGAAAAAGCAGGGAAAAGATCACTTTGTTCAAAAGTAGATTTGCAAGGATTTAAGTTCTTTATAAAAGAACAAGGAAAGATAGAGCACAGACACATGTAAAGCTGAGGCATTTGGACATCTGGCTGTTTTGTATGAGCCAGAGTTTGGGAATCACAGTAGACACAGTAAAACGTCTTTTCTTTAGAAACTCCAGCACTTACACAGTCACTACTTGTACTGCTTTTCTCATAATTTTATCTCAAGACATTATCATTAAGTAAATTGCATATTGTCAACACTGCTTTATAATAATGTAGCAATTTTTAAGCAAGGAGTAAAGAGTGGATTTTTAAAAATGAGATACAAGCAATGCAGTAATTCTTCACTCAGAGTTGCTAGAGAAAATTAAAGCAGTATATTCTTTAATATTATTTTTTTTATCATTTCCTTTCTTATTGCAACCTACTATTTTAAAGAAAGTCATGTTGACCTATAAGTAGAATATTTATAAATTTTATTCTAAACATGCCCTTCATGTGCTAAAGATGGGTTGCTTTTGTTTGTTCAAAGAAAAATGAAATAGAAAATAAATTTTGCTTTCAAGTATGAGACAACAAGTTAATGCACCTTATATGTGGATATTTATCAGTTCCTGCTCTCATTTCCAGTTTGGAGCATGGGAAAATTAAGTTTTGTGACACAAAAGAGAAATTCAAACAAACAAACAAACAAACAAAATCTTAGTTTTTAGAGGTAGTTCCATTATGATTATTTGAAATGTATCATGCAATAATTTACAATCTTGGCTAATTTTGTGACTAGAATTTTGGAAAATATTAAAAACACTTTGGGGAATAGTGCACAGATCCTTGTAAACTTTGTATATTGACTCAACATGTATTTGAGCTGTTGTTCAGACTAACAATTCACATACTAACTAGGCATGATATAGATGATATAAACCTGGGAAAGCTGGCATCTTTCCTGTAGGCAGTGGTCTGCATAAAGCACAGCCACTTGCATTTTATTACACCGATACTTTCTGGCCATAAATCCTCAATTCAGCATTTTTTATTTCATCTTGTTACTTCCAGTTTCTGTGAACAACTCATAATAATACAGCACATAGATAAAATACTCAGCATGAG